AATACAGGGACATTATCAAACTCCTACGTTTGTCCAGTTTTTAATTCTCTAGCCAATCACTCTATCTCTTAGCTGAGCTGAACTATATTCACTTTAAAAAAGGCTGAACTTTTTAAATTTTAAATTAAATTGAAAAATTGAAATTTTGAGTTGAAGCCTTAGTTTTCATAACAAAATGTTCGCCTTTCGACGCTGAATCCGAGTTCGTTATTTAAAGTGTTCCATATAGTAACGGTGGCAACTACTATAGCTCAAAAACCACGGTTTTCCGGAACTTCTACGTCGGAGGGTTTTGAAGAAAACTTTCTAGAGACGAAAAGGAAGAGAACCTCATGAAACCTCTAAACACTGAGTTCCAGTGGGTCTGGTCTGGTAGTTCCGGAGATAGTTTCCTGATGTAACACGCCTGTTGTTCCGTTTGAGATTTTGTATTTCAGTAAAGCATGCAGATAAAGATAGAAAATCAAATTAGTAATATACAATTATAGGAACAGGCACTAAATTGTTAACAAGAAACGCTCGTCCTTTTTACTAAACCACTCTGTAATAGAAAACCGTGATTCTTCTATTGAGACCCGACAAATTTGTGACACGTTTTGCTGAAGAAAAAAAAAATGCTATGGATCGACTTTTCATAGGGGGTTTTAAATGTGGGGGGGGGGATCTACTAATAGCATGGGAGGGTTATGGAGTTTGATTAATAACCGGAGGAGAAGAACGAAAAGACACTGTACGCTGTTGCTTTAAACTTGTTTGATGGGAGGTGCAACGTCTCGAATAGCCCAGCTTTTTTTTCGAGCAGCTTGCATAAGATCTATCAGTGTTCAGTGAAGAAATTTTTCCTAGAAATCTTTGTATTTTGCACAGGAGATGGCATAACTCACCTTTATACATATACGCAAGGGCCGCTATTTTGAACTGGTCATTGATGGAACCACACTTTCAATAATTTTCCACACTGATATTATGTAGAAGGTTGTCGGATATCGTTCTCTTCGGCAACATCCCATACTGTGGCTTTGTCGGAAGTTGTGGGATCCAACGGCCGTTGTTCTAAACTTCGTACTCGTTGAAAACCATACTATCTAACAATATCCCACAGTGGGATTTCACCGAATAGGGTATCTAACACTGATCCAACTAGGAGATTTTGTGAGAATGTGTAGAACAGCATTGAATTCCGACTGTAGGACTCCTGTGGGACACCCCTTGTTTTCGTTATTTTCTTGGATCCTATGGGATCCTACGAGGCTATTTTGGCCTGAGAAGATCACACTAAGGTTAAAGTAGCTCGGAACTAACTTTGAAGTAAATTGACGCACTTGAAAGCGCCGATTTTTCGTTTTTCCCCGTGACATGTTCCATGTCCCTCTTCTTTTAGAAAAGTGTTGCACATTCTAAGTTATTCTGTAATTTGCTTACGTCATGAAATCAACTTTGTGCACAATTGAGTTGGTAAATAAATATTGCCGCACCCAAATGATGTATTTTAAATAAGTCATATTTTATACAATTCGACACCTTGAAAGGCGTTTAACAGATTCATTTGAAGCTTTCATTCTTGGCGTTCTGTCCATCTGATAGAGAAAAAAACAGTTGATTACCCTTTTAATTTTCCTGGAAATCGCCAGCTGAACGCGAATAGCTATTTAAAACAAGAACTTGAACACCTTGCTGAAATCATTCTGTTCCTCTTCTTCAGACTGATCGGGAATCGACTTTTTGAGAGACGCTTAGCTATCCTAAAGAAGACAAAGATATCTTCGTCTCAATTAGACAGTCGTTTTACCAACATTTTCGGAAAAGTGTCGACGGTTGTCGTCTCGTTTGTCATCAAAAATCGAGTGAAATATTAGAAATGTGTTATTTGTATGGCTTATCTGTAGTACTCCGTAGAATGATCGACTCCTGCTCTTAATCTGAACACATTTCTACTATGGAAACAGTATCTAGCAGTTCGCTCAGATAGAGTCAGTTTGAATTTTCGGAAGTTTTTTCTCTAATTTTCAGACTAATTGACAGAAATGGCCTCAAATGTTCCCAATAATGCTACGGATCCAAAATCAAAACAAGAATACTACGCAGAACACGATGCTTATATTAAGAGAAAATTTAATTTTGTACAAAATGGTGCACATCCATGTGAGTTCCTTTCTCTTTGTTTTTGTTGGTTAACTTACATAATCTTTTTATCATCACAGGTTTAAGTCAAGGTAGAAAAAACAATCTTTGCACAAAAGGTGATGCATGTCTGTTTATTGGTTTTCCAATTGATACGTGTATGTATTATATATTTGGGAAGTGTACACAAGAAAAATGTCGTCAAACGCACTATGAAGACTTTGCTGAAAAATACAAGAAATATAAAGAGGAATTTTCTGAAATGAATAAAGAACAATTCAGACAGTCGAAGGAGCGTCAGAAAGAAGAAGAACGTATAAAGAGTGAAGCGAATATTAATGCTGATCAAGCATGGTTAAATGCAAGTACACGAATTTGTCCAAAATGTGCATTACCAGTTGAAAAAGGGCCTGGTTGTGACAGCATGTATTGTCAACATTGTAAAGCCCCCTTCCGTTGGGATCAAATGGAAACAGCAATCGGTGGTAAAAATGCGTATAAAATAGAGCAAGCCAAACGAAATGCTTCGAAATGGGTATCAAAAGATTTGCCCAAAGATTCAATACAGTTATTCGTTGTTCTTCTGAATGGAAAATCCAAAGCATTTACTATTTGTAAAATGAAGTTAAGATGGATCTTGATTAGGCATGCAACGTAAAGGTTACCGTTACCGTTTTACCGGTTTTACCGAACCTTAGCGATTTAACGTTCGATATGAATGCATAAGAAAATTTATTAAGAAGTGAGACTATTTAAAGAGTGTATTGATGGCTATATTTTAACGGTTTTATATTTCTTCTTTGGCTTTTCTTTCTATATTTTATCGGCTCATAGAGTAGATTGAAATAGTGTTTTCATTTCTTAAGAAATGAAAACACTATTTCAATCTACTCTATGAGC